ATGTGAGCTACAACGCTCCTAAGGACACCCTAAGTTTGCGCCAGGCTTCGGCTTTGACTTTCCATTCACCGGGATTCTCTGACTCAAACTGGTTCTTTTTCATCAACCAACTTCAGCAAAGATCAACTTGAGCCTTCAGATTGCATCAAGCCTTTCTTTCAGACAGACGAGACGTGCAAGTATTCAAACTTAGTCTTATTAATTGATACATTAGGTATCATTTGCATCTTTTTACAAAGGTGTGTTTGAACTACGAATCTTATGTTTCCTTCAGGCGGTAGATCTGCTGAATATCAAATGGTACCATAGTTTCATATTCTTATTTCTCTTCTCTTTACTGCGTTAAGCTTTAACCCTTTCCTATACAAACTGTGTGTGTGTGTGTGTGTGTGTATGTGTAGGTGTATGTTAGACTAGTTTTTTTTTTAAGTGTTTATGTAGTTAATAAAGTCTTACTTGTATCACACTTGATGTTGTTCATTGTTTGCTCATAACTGGAGTCACTTAATCATTCAGATTTATGCTACAAGCTCTTTGTAGAATTGTACAGTAAGAAAGTTATTTCCCTTAACCAGGAAATTAACGTTCTTAGAATTGACAGACAGTTGACCCTGAGAGGTCAAGTAAATATCTACAGCGGATCTAAATATTTGTAATTAATTATAACTAGTTATGATTAATTATTCATATTTCCCCATGAGCTGATTCGCTACAAGAGGTAAAAGGACCTCTGGCAGGAAGCCTCAAATCATTTGTTGCATTACATGGTTTTGAGCTCTGACATCAGAAATGTAGATATTAAGTCTCCCGCATAAAACTTTGTGAGACGAAATATAGTCGTACTGCCTCAAATCAGGATTTCATACATTGTATACAGAGTTTCCACAGCCAGGTGGTTTGTTTTTAACGCAAACTCATAAACTGAACAGCTGTAAAATCTGTGTCAGAAAGATGAAGCAGATGGGGTGTGATGAAGGCAGCTGATATAAAAATGTTTGGATGAGAGAGCGGAGAGACAGCTGGGGGCATTTTAGCCCTCTATTCTTCACCTGAGGGTGGGACTCTGTGGGTTTTGGGATGTGTGGGGGAATGCACAGCGGGGTTGCGTCCTCACAATAGGGCCATCTGACCCTCATTGTGAAGGTAACAGCTGGTAGGCGGCCACTCGCGAGCCACCCAGCCGACAGCTTGTGCCAACAAAGGCAGACTGAAAGCATTCAACAGAAGACTTGTCCTCGCAACGTTAGTCATCCAAAGGCCATAATCACCCCTTCCTTCCCAGTCCAATGAAGAGGAAAAGCAAGGCATGGCATTCCAGAACATATATACTGTACCCTGTGATACAATAATGGCACATGCATTTGTGAGCCAACCATATGCTGGTTTAATTACCAAAAAAAAAACACCACAAAAATACTTTAGCATAAGAACAGGGTAATCAATTAGTACCATAGTCCCAACATCTGCCTGCTCATTGAAAAGCTGGGATTATTTAAGCCTAGAAAGAATTTGCTTTGAGGATTTGGGGGAAAAAAAAAGTTACGCCCAGAATTGAATTCTGTCATCATTTACTTACCCACATATCATTCCAAACTTTCTTTCTGCTGTGAAACATACAGTAAAATAATATATTTTGAGAAATGTCTTAGTGTTTTTTGGAAGTCAATAGTCACCAAAACTATTTGGCTACCAACATTCTTCTACATTCAAATATCTTATTTTATGTTTCACAGAATAAAATGTTGAAAACAGGTTTAAAACAACATAACTGATGACACAATATTGATTTTTTTGGGGTGAACTATCCCTTTAAGATTACTATTTAAACTTGCTTTGAATATAATTTGTAACACCAAAAATGGTTGTTGAAATGAAAACTCATTACAGTTGTCGGTCGCCAGTGAGAGAGAACTCTGAAACTGTGACATTGATGGTTTAAAAACTGACCCTACCTAATTTCACAGCTCTACCACTTTTAGCATCTTCACGACAAGGTGTTAAATGCATTTGCCCTCATTTAGATTAAATGTGTCAGTCTACAGTGACCTTTTCATCGCCGTCACCCTTCACTGCACCCAACACAAGTGGCTTCCTCTGGAATACCATCAGTCCTTTAGCTCAGAGCATGGCAGGCACGTAGCACTGCTGTCTAAGCATTTTTATTAGCAATTAGGCCGGTCTTGTAGCTCTAAGACAGTCTAAAGAGAGAGTGACTGTTAATCCCATTATTTATTCAGAGGAGCTTTAGGAGCCACAGCTTGACCAGAGGTGGGCTTTCCCCATCCAACTAGAGCTGCTTACAGAAAACACTCATCAAAACCAGCAAACAGAAAATGAAAGCAACAAGAGGAAATCTTTGAGTCTATCAGGTCTAAACCTCTAAAATCAAATTCATCAACACAATCAGTGCAGGAGAAGTTTGGTAGGATTACATATGTTGAGTTTCTGTTTTCAGATCATGAAAAATAACAGAACTTAAAATGCTATTTGTGTAACAGTGTTGACATTTTAAGCTTGATGAAATTTTCTCATGACATTAAAAATTGGGCAAATCAAAAACATTTGTTTTAAAGACAAGTTAGTGTTACAGTATAGACATTTTGGTGGTGCTTCTTATATACACAACTTGGTCATGCCTGGATTTAAAAGGGTAGACATACTGCATCTCTTTCCCACCACAGGATATATTTAAAATAATTTGTTTAGTCATTCAGGTAAACAAATAAAAACAAACGTGGTCAAAACAAATCAGTAAGACAAATCAATTCAGTGAGCTGACCTTAAGAACTAGATCAATTTATGGACAAATCATTGAATGTTTCAGACCAGTTTTGTGAACCAGATCAACTGCTTCATTAAAAAGACCTGACTCAAAAGAATGTCCAAACCATGAATGAATCAATCATTGCTACTTCTCTAAGAAACGTATGTCGAATAACAACTTAAATTCTGGCCTTTTTTCAAACAAATCTATCATAGGAACACACTGTATTCCAAATCTTCTGATACCATACAATAGCTCTGCGTAACAAACAGACCAAAATTGAAGTAGTTATTATCTGAGAACATTGCTTTCCAGTGGGCTATTCGATGCACATTCACGAGAGTATCACGACGCATGTGTGTGTTGCTGCTGACTAGGGTTGTGGCGGTGAGGAAATTTTCCCACCGGTTAATCGACGTGTGACAAAACCGGTAATACCGGTATCACCGCGGGGGCGGGGCGTTCCCTCTTTTCCTCACTTTCCTTCGCTTTTAAATAGCTTGTAAAAGCGGCGTGCGCATTTTACTTTCACTTTGAAATAGCGGCAATTTGGCGTAAAGCTGCGGCTTAACACCGGTATCACCGTCAATCGCGGCAAGCATACTGCTGACACAGAAGCCGCCGCTCTGACGTAGAACCTGCATGCGCTGAGCCTTGTTTACAAGCAGACGAATGCACAAGCATGCGTCCTGGTACTGTTGTGAATGCGCACTGAAGACTGACACGGAAGAGAAATTGTTGAATAAAATCATTATTTTTGTTTTCTTTGCACACAAGAAGTATTCTTGTAGCTTCATAAAATTAAGGCTGCACCACTGATGTCACATGGACTAGGGATGCACCGGATGTTCGGCAACCAAAATTATTTGGCCGAAAATAGCAATAAGTGAAAAAAAGAACGAATAAATAAAGAAAACGAATAAATTGTACCGAACAATGACGTTACGCGATCAAACAGAGGCGCGCACTAATGCAGCAAACATGACAGCAGTGTGGAGGCATTTGTCCGAGAAAGACGCAAAAATCATTATATAAGCACCGACAGCGAGAGACTGTTGCATTGCATGTCTTCGATGAGAAGAGGAAGGGTGGTTATTGCTGGTTACTGTATGATGATTGAAATCGTGAAATGGCCTCGAACGATTAGTAAATATACTGCAGAACGTTATGTTTTCTAATACACACATGAATTGCATGTATTCAAACAGGGCTGCACGAGGTTGCGGCGCCAGGGTTCAAAGTCCAATGTGCGAGGAAAATCTGCGCTGAAACTGCTGCTCAGTATAATTTTTATGCTTTTTTAAAATAAAATAAGAAAAGTAAGACAATAATGATAATAATAATTACAACAGTTCTGTTAATACATTTATTATATCACTCACACATAGTGTTCAAACTGAGATCTGTAATATTTTCTAATGTTTTAAAAGAATTCTGTTCTGCTCAGCAAGGCTGTATTTATTTGTACAGTAAAAAACAATAAATGATAACTGATTCAAGAAAGGGGTGTCAAAAATGGCCAACAAATATTTTACTAACTTATTAATTTTAAGTTAAATTGTGCTTTGTTTGTTATAGTGTCTGCTAGAATGTTAAAAAATGTTCAGTGTTAAGTAAATATTTTTAAATTGTTGTTTTGTAATTGTTTTTTCTTTGAAAAGCTAGACAAAAGCACATTTTGGCTATTTAATTTATGCAATGGTGAAAAAATTGGCAAAATATATTAGGGGTGTAAATCGGATGGTTCGTCACGATACGATACGATACGATAGCGATTCTCATACCCAGCGATACGATATTTGCCGATACTTCAAAAATTCTATGACACGATTTCGATACGATTCGATACAGGAGAATATCGATCGATATATCGATATTATTATATTATATACATATTTTAAACAACCATCTACATTTTTATTAACTCACAACTGCAACCAAAACATATAACATGAACATTTATCTTACATTTTTAAAACTTTATTTGATACTTTTTTGGCTGCTACTATGGGCTCAGTGCTAAAACCATTTCTACAGATAAGCAATAGCAGAAAATAAATACATACAATATAACAAAGACACAAATTCAATAAACAGTGCTTTTAAGGTTTTTTAGGTAGATCTAAAAGAAATTTTCAGGTACAGAAATGTAATAATCTAATGTAAAATGACACTGCATAGTCTTCACTGTATAGATTAAATATAGATTAATCCTTATAAAAGTTGTTCATTCAAAATCAGTGAGATTTTTTTATTTGACAGAAGTTTTCTGTTAGTCTGCTTTCACTTTAAGAAAAGCACGGATCCAATATACACGTGTTTTCTTTCTCAACTGTATACGTTAAGACAGTGTTTCCCAACCGGGGTGCCGCGGCTAGCCAAAAAGCATCTATTATATAATATCCATTTCTGATGTCGCCAATAATTAGAGATGCACCGAAATTTCGGCTGCCGAATTAGTTCACCGCTCAGGTTTCACTTTCACGTGGTGTGACGCTCTGCGTATTATCCCGCTCTATGTGTGTGCGCTCCGCTCAGTTGCTCCACTCATATACCGTTCATGCTCATCGGAACAGCAAAGTCCACTCAAAAAATGAGCCGACAGGAAACATCGATGTAGTACAGTATTGTTTCTGTCTGCAATAGCCCTACTGTGTTGTAACATGGTGTGGTATATGGGCAACTCTGGTAACGCTGCCCTCTCATTCATTGATCTGCTAACCGCTATGTTATGCTCACGTGTTCTGATAACAATAGCTTTCTAGGACTAAACATTATTTGGATAATTGGTAAAAAAAAAAAAAAAAAAAAAATATCTGTATGACATTATATTCTGCAGTTCTTCCCTGTTGTACCGAATATCTATACTTTTCAAATTATCATATAGAAGTTAGAAATTCAAATATTGTGACAAAATTAATTTTGTAGGGTGCCACAAGTTTGTTAAAATTTCTAAAGGGTGCCGCGACTAAAAAAAGGTTGGGAAACACTGCGTTAAGACATAGGCATAACCGATTGTGTTTACTAGGATATTCACCAAGGCGCACATGTTGATGTAATTTGGTCTGTATTTGTTCATCCATGCACAAAAAAGCCGAAGAGAGCTCAATTAGGTATTAGCGCGCTGTCGATGTGGCTGTCTGTATACGTGCGTAATTACGACGTAATTCCATCAACTATCCCGAGCGTCTTTTACCCTTGCCCTTCAGGCAGTCTTATCGTCCCGACACGTGAGTTTGAACGAGAATGCACTATCGATGGATCGTTACACCCCTAAAATATATGGGGGGAAAATGCGAAAAACCGTGTTCGGTATTCAGCCTTCGGCCCAGTGTTTCGTTTTGTTCAGCTTCGGCCAAGAACTTTTATTTCGGTGTATCCCTAACATGGACTATTTTAACAATGTCCTTACTAACTTTTTGGGCCTTGAACATGTCAGTTGCATTGCTGTCAGAAAGATCTTGAATTTCATCAAAAATATCTTAATTTGTGTTTCGAAGATGAATGAAGGTCTTACGGGTTTGGTATGACATGAGGGTGAAGAATTAATGACAGAATTCTCATTTTGGGGTAAAACTATCCCTTTAACCCTAAGAACTGGAACAAACTGATTCATGAACAGATCATTCAGACCAGTTCAGACTGATTCACTGAAAAGATCTGATTAAAAAAAATTATTCATTCACAGTTGTGTCAAATAACGACTTATATTGTGGCCTTTTATCGCACAAATCTTTGACATGAATATAGTGCACAAGTCACATGAATGACTAATGCATTTATGGTGCTGTTGAGTTATGTTTGGAGACTGGCAGCTCAATTATATTAAAAAGTATGGCCAGAATAATACTCAACAGAACAAAGTCATACACGTTTGGACCAACATGAGATTTGTGTGACAAAAGGCCAGAATTTAAGTCGTTATTTGACACAAGTTCATGAGACCAGGCGCGATGTCCAAACTGAATGATTCATTCTTTTGAGTCAGATCTTTTCAGTGAATCAGTTGAGCTGGTTCACAAAACTGGTCTGAATGATCTGTTCATGAATCAGTTTGAAAGTAATGACACAATTTTCAGTTTGGAGTAATCTATACCTCTACGTGTTTTATATATATATATATATATATATATATATATATATATATATATATATTAAAAGACAACTAAAAATAAATATACTGTACACTACCTTGAGACATTTATCTGACAGTGTGCGTGTTGTGGGTGAACATAAAGGCCTTGAGTGCAATGATAAATACAGAAAACAGTCAGCAACAACCGTGGATTTACAAACAGGTGTATCAACAAACCAGGGATTATCAACTTCCCATGCATGTCCTCCTGTGTACTTAAATCCAAATGCACAAAAGCCTCATTAGGCAAAACCCATGTGATAATGTACAAGGAAATACATTTACACAATTTAAAATGAAAACGAAAATCAGTTATTGTACAACAAGCCAAAGAGAAAAAGCACTAACAAGCACTTATAAATCAAGGCAATGCCATGATTTACTTGAACTATGGCAATACCATGATAGTACCATATGTATTCGTGGAGTGATATGGATATGTTAATCACTCAGTGCCATGGAATATATCAGAGTATTAGTACTTTGATATACCATGGCATTACCATCACTTTGCCATTACATAGTAAGAATGACCATGCCTAAAGAACCTCTTTCCATATTATTATTTTGAAAAACTTGTGTGCCTGAAGAGAATGCCTTAAAACGTTTAAGGAAATGTTATTGTCTTTCCCCAAGGGAGTGAATAAACAGGAAGATGATCATACAAATGCACCTACCCTTCACGTCTCCGGCCAGCGCTTTCCATGTCGGCGAGTACTGGATACAGTGTCCGCACCACGACGAGTAGAACTGAAGCAGCCAGGCGCTGGAGGAGTTCAACACGGTCTGCTTTAGGCTGTCGCTGCTCAGTATAACCACTGGATCCTCCTCAGTGTATAACCGAGTTGACTGAGCGAGTCCGAACAGCAGCCCCAACAGAACAACGAGCTTAACGCAAACCGCCACGGCCATTGGAGGTGATGGAAGAAACGCCATACAATTCGAAGCCACTCACTTAAAATGAATTCTCTACATTCAGACTGATTCTGCTCGCTCCTATGGATGACTACATTTAGTAGGGACGTGAGTCTTCTAGAGCATCATCACTGCGCTAAGAGGACGCAGACGCCTATCTTGCACATTCTATCTGCGTATGGGCGACGCATATCATGTATGTGGCGCGTTTACGTAATAACAATTCTTCGGTGTATGGTACTCTAATATAATCAAAATTGTTTGAAAAAAAAAAAACACACCACAAATGTTGCTAAGAATGAAATATATTTAATCTTGATTGTAGTGTAGTTTAATGTACAGAAACACATAATTGATTTTTAAAAAATCATTAAAATAATGATTGATATGATGAATGATTAAAGACAAAGATTAAATCTCACAAAAAAAGTTAATGTAACGTCACCTCAGAATCAAAAGAAATATACTGCATACAGAAAATGAATTCATTTATTTACTTTGGTGTGTTTGTATTTTGATGTGTTTGTTCACATTGTATAACCATAAGCACATTTTGTCCTGAAATTCTCATTAATGTAATATATCAGTACATGTCGTTTTGAGTTTTTTTTTGTAATTCCCATTATTCTCCATGATGATTTGCATTATATTCTCATTACTGTAATAAAGTAGCCTATTACTTTTAATTCATCAAGTAAACAAATGACTGTGATACATTACTTTTGATTTAAATCAGCTGATATTAAAAGCAATACAAATAATACTAATATGACATATAAATACTTTAAAATGTAAATAATATCATTTTTTAAGAATAATATCAAGAATTTCAGTAATGAGAATAATATGTTTTTCTTTACAGTAATTGCAAAAGTGGAAATTGTGTGAAAATGTGTTGTCATGAACATTTCATAATGCAAAAAAACTGCTCTAAATGGTCCTAAAACAGTTTTATGGGTTTACGTTCCTCAAGCAAAACATAATTTGTTGAAATATGACTTGGACATGCTCTTGACAGGATTTGTAAGATTCCCCCAAAAAGAAAACAACAACATATCAAAGAACATATCAGAGATGCAAGTATGAAAATGTCAAGATTCTGAAACTTGTCTTTTAGGTTGAAAAGTGCATATGATTTAGGGCTAATATTGTGTCATCCAAAAGAAGACTGAAAATCTCCTCAGTCAGATGCATTTTCACAGTGTACTGGTCAGCACTGTAGTCTAGCCAAGTTCTCTCCTCATTATGAAGTTCCTGAATCTAGAAATAGATCAAAAGACAAAATCAGACATTTTCAGTTCTAACATTTACTGCAGTCTTAGCTAAAGTTACACCAAGACCACTAATTTCACAAGCAAGCGTATTATTATAGGAGTGCCTTTACACACACCAGTATAAAGTCCACTCTGTCTCTCTTGGCGTACCAGTATTTGCACAGTTTTTGGAGCATCTCTGTCATCTGTTGCTCGCTTCGCTCTAAATTCAGAATTTTCTGTATCTCTTTTCTCACGGCAGCCTGCAAATAACATTAGATTAACACACTTTAAATGTTCTTTAAAGTACTTTAATCAAAATGTTAGTTCACCTGAAAAAAAAAAAAATATATATATTTATATATAATATTATATATATATATAATAAAACAAAAACTTTGCATGAATATTATTTTAATGGTTCATACAGCTGATTGCAAATTGTTTTACCTTTAAAAATGTGACTGAAACTTGACTGGATTGCAGAGCTGAGATCACAGATTGATCATCTATATTCTGGGCAGATTGTTTTGTCCTTAACAGATCACCCCAAATCTCATGAAGTACATCAGATGTTAACTGAAAGATCACCTACAGTGTAAAATGAATAAGGTTTAGATTAGAATTGTGTTCCTCTCATTCATTTAGCATTTTTATAGTCATTTGTTATGTACACGTTCCTATAGACTAACCTGCCGATAACATTTGCGACTATCATCGTCTAATAAATAGCTTGGTGTTTCATAAAGGTCGAGAGTGTCTTCATTTGCTTGGCCACACAGAATCTCCACTGCAGCGTCCACTAATCTGTACACAATGCCGTCTTCATGGGGCGGCACTTTTATCTTTGGTGGCATGTCGGGTTGGGCCTGATGCCACTGATCCAAGACACATGGCATAAAATGACCATCCTCACCTTTTCTGACTTCCTAAATATCAAAGAGAAAAGTGCAGTAATAGTAAACAAAAATGAAATTTTTCAATTATTCAAATTTCATGCACAGATATTATTTTACACGGGTATTTTATTCTTCACTAAAGCATATTCTACAGTTGTTTTGACAACTTACAGTATCTGTAGAGTGATTGTCATGCAATGCTTTAATCCTTTGTCTCTTTCTATTATCCTGAGCACAGTGAACTCCATCTTTATCCAGCTCTTCTGTCAGCTTAGCATCCTCATGGTGCCTGTTTTGATGGAGCTCATTATGATGGAGCTCAAAGTCGGTCTGTAAAATACAGGTGCTTAGTGATAGGTACAACTGCTGTATGCTATACGATAAAGTTTGTGAAAACAATGAAAAAATGAAAATTCTGTCATAATTTAATCATTCTCATGTTTTTAACACCTAGTAAAAAAGTCATATATTTTAAAATACATTTATTTCATATAAGTATAGTTCAAATCTGTTAACATATTTACTGACATATTGCTCAAGACTTACTGATATAAAAATTATAATTCAACTTTATTTGGAGAACTACTCACAATGCACATTTCTTAATATTAAGCATAAAATGTGTTTTAATGTCACTATTGATGAGGATTGTATAATCTTTGAATAATATTAGTCTTTAAGTGCCATATATTTAAAGTGTACCTGAAGTATACTTGGAATAGTTCCACTTTAGCACAATCAAATATACTTCAGTATATCTTTAGTTGGACTTCAGCACTACTTCCACACAATTAAAGTGCATCAAGTATAAAATTAGTTGTTCCAATTTCAGCAAGTATAACAGTCTAGTATACTAAAAGTACAATTGCAGGGTATTTTTATTAAGTACATAAATATGTAAATGTATTTGTAGTTTACTTAGGATGAAATAAATGTGTTTCAAATACATTTTAGTATATTTATTTTTCTCTAGGGTGTATGACTCTGTTTGCAAGAATTGTTGATGCTGCTCTTTTACAATGAAATCATACAGTGACTAGATGCTGTTGAGCTTCAGTAAGGACAAAAAGCACAATCAGTACATAAGTCTTACGCTATATTACAAGTTTTCTGAAGCTTTCTGATGAGTTACACATAGTTTGTGTGAGGAACAGACATATCGAATTTAGTTTACTATCATTATAGCCCTATACATTGTATACTGTAATAGAATGGAATAACAGAATAGAAAAATAAGATACATATACTGTATAGTGTAACGCAGTAAAGCACTGTACAAGGTTTGAGGTCAGTGAAACACCACTGGTTCTTGTGTGTCTCGTAACTGAATTCTCGTGTCGGGATGTGTCAGTTTTTGTGCTACTTTGTGTGTTTTTTTTGGTTTTTTTTGGTCTGGTCTCTGGTCATTGTACTTTGTTTTGTTTTGTTTTTTGAAAGAAGTCTGCATTTATTTTATCAACAGTCAACAGTAATATTGTGAAATATTATTACAAATTAAATTGTTTTCTAGTTTAATATATTGGTAACACTTTAGTATAGGTACCAATTCTCACTATTAATTAGTTGTTTATTAGCATGCCTATTATTAAAATATAGGCTGTTTATTAGTACTTATAAAGCACAAATTCTGCATGACCATATTCTACACCCCTAATCCTATACCCAGTACCTAAACTTAACAAGTACCTTACTAACTATTAATAAGCAGCAAATTAGGAGATTATTGAAGCAATAGTCATAGTTAATGGTTTGTTAACAGTGAGAATTGGACCTTAAAATAAAGTGTGACTGATATACAAGTAATTTTAAAAGTAATTTTTTCCTTGTTAGGCAAAGCTGAATTTTTAGCAACCATTACTTCAGTCTTCAGTGTCACATGATCCTTCAGAAATCATTCTAATATGCTGATTTGCTGCAAGAAGAAACATTTCTTATTTTTTATCAATGTTGAAAACAGTTGTGCTGCTTAATATTTTTGGGGAAACTGTGATACAGATTCTTTGATGGATAGAATCTTTTTAGAAAGAAATTTTATGAATGTTTTACTGTCAAAAAATTTTTACTTACCTAAAATTTTTGAATGCTATAGTGTACATACTTTCACTATATGCAAAAGAGCTACATTTATCTTATACATCTCATTTTGCGTTCCACAGAAGAAAGAAGGTCAAACCGGTTTGGAATGACATGAGGGTGATTAAATGGTTACAGAATTTTCATTTTTGAGTGAACTATTCCTTTAAGTGCTTGGTGTGACTTACTCTTGGTGAGGACATTTCAAAGGCATGTGAAAGGTTTCTTGCTCCATCTGACATGTCTTCCTGAGGTTCTTTTTTTCGTGTGCGTGTGGTGTTTGTAGGTATGGTCTCATCTCTAGGAGGACACTGACTATGTATATGTCCTCTTTGTCCATCTGCCGACGATGTGACCTTCTGTTGTTTATCTCTCTTTGCCCTAGGCTGCTCCTCGTCTGAGAAGGGATCTTCATCCACCCCAGTCTCTACATCACTACTATGTTCTCTGTGTATGTAAGCGATGTCCTCGGCTCTGACCAGGACACCGTGGCTTTTGTCGCAGCTGAAGTACTTCACACCTATAAAAGTTCCATTGTGGTTTCCATTAGGGGCGTCCAAAGCAACACCAGCCCAAAACCCATTCGCAAACGCCGTGAGGCCTTTATATTTCAGCACACCCGGTCTGGAGTTACACACAAGAACTCTGTCTCCAATTTGAAAGGAGGACAATGGATCCGAGATTTCATTTCTCGCATCTTCAGGAAGTGAGCAAGTGTATTCCGAACAGTTGTTTTCCTCTGCATCCTCACATAGAGCTCCATTAGTATCATCGTTTACCTCCTTTCCTCTCAGACTCTGAGACTCTTTTCTTTTCAGAGACAAGTCCACAGGGAGAGGAGGGAGGTTCTCGCTGTTAATTGAGAGATCTTCTACAGAATCAGGTGGAGCTGGAAGTTCCTCCTCACTGGTCCATGTAATAATCTCAA